GACTTTTTAATTGCTTTTATTCTTACCTGCATTTAAACTCCAGGTGCCCTACTCTTATTTTTGTCTTTTTTCTTTCCCCATTATTATGATTCCATAACCCATACTTATTAAACCAACTTATTCATCTCACATCAGACTAGATGTTTTTCCTTTCACAAAAGTTTTGCAATGAGTTACTGGAAAGCGCACCTTTGTCAGGTGACATGGAAAGTGTGGGCGGGTGTAACCACAGACCCGCACACGATTGCCTGCCGTGGGGGACATCAGGCCCAGATGCTCTTCTCCCTGGGAGTCCTGGGCACACAGGAATTGAAAATTTCTTCTCTCCAGTGGTGAGACTGCAACATATCAACGTTCAATCCATGCCCAGGCAGGGGATGAGGAGCAGCAAATTTAGGGGTCTGAACAATGTATCCTTTGGCAATGTCTTCTGTGTTCCTAATTCCTTCCAGCAGGTTTTCATCAAGGATAGAGCCATTTCAGCCAACCAGTCGGGCCAGATGGGCAGAAGTTCCCAGCAACTGTATCATAACTGCTGAACCCAAAGCTGCTCCCTTGTGACCAGCCTGCTCCCCTGTTCAGGCCACCTACTGGTGTCTCTGACCTCTGTTGGGACTCAGGCAGGATGGGGCAGCCCTAAGCAAAAGGTTTGAATTCAGAGTCCACCAATTCTTGGCTGTAACTCCTAGAGAAAGTTCATCACTGTGCTGTCAATTTCTTCACTTGAAAGGGGAAATTTTCTGCGTCACAGGATTTCTGTAAAGTGCATGTGAAAATACACACCGAGTAGGTGGTACATTTTTATGATTTACAATTTTTTTTTCTTTTTTTTATTATTATACTTTAAGTTCTAGGGTACATGTGCACAACGTACAGGTTTGTTACATATGTATACATGTACCATGCTGCTGTGCCGCACCCATTAACTCGTCATTTACATTAGGTGTATCTCCTAATGCTACCCCTCCCCTCTCCCCCTCCCCCACAACAGACCCCAGTGTGTGATGTTGCCCTTCCTGTGTCCAAGTGTTCTCATTGTTCAATTCCCACCTATGAATGAGAACATGCAGTGTTTGGTTTTCTGTCCTTGCGATAGTTTGCTCAGAATGATGGTTTCTTGCTTCATGCATGTCCCTACAAAGGACATGAACTCATCCTTTTTTATGGCTGCATAGTATTCAAATTTTATACAACTACCATATTCAATTAAACTGTGATCCAGTGGGTGTCTTAGTCAGCTCAGATTGCTATAACAAAACACCACAGACTGGGTAACTTCAACAACAGAAATTTATTCCTTACAGTTTGGGAGGCTGGAAGATCAAGATCAAGGTACTGGTTAACTCAGTTCCTAGTGAGGCCTCCCTGCCCAGTTTATGGAAGGCCGCCTTTTCACTGAGCCCTCACACAGTGGAGAGAGAGATCATGTCTCTTGTGTCTCTTTTTATAAGGGCACTAATCTCATTCATGAGGACTCCACCTTCCAGAAATAATTACTTCCTAAAAATCTCACCTCCTCATATCATCGTATTGATGGGTACGGCTTCCAAATGTGAATTTTGGAAGGACACGAACATTTGCTCCATAGCAGTGGCCAGAAAGTAAAAGTGGGTGGGAAAGAACGAGCCTCAAAAAAAATCCTGACGCCTGCGAATCTATTCGTGACATTACTTCCTTCTCTGTTGGCAGCATTATTCAACCCCATGACTTCTAAATTGTTTGCCAGCCCAGATTTCCCTCCCAGTGATGAAAATCATATGCTAAAGGGACCCTCATGCCTCTGGTGAGTGAAACCAGAAACACAGACCATCCTTGGCACAGTTTCCATATGGCCAGCATGGCTGTGACCGAAGCCCCCATCCCCAGGCAGTGAAACAAGCCAGGGCAGACAAAGGACACAGCAAGGCATGGGCAGGTCTCAAGTGCCTCAGGGTCAAGGTTAGGGCCTGCTTCCTATGCACACTGCACATGGAATCTGGGATATATTTGGCGCTCGGTAAACTCGGATTTTCTTTTTTTCTTTTTTTTTTTTTAATTATACTTTAAGTTCTAGGGTACGTGTGCACAACATGCAGGTTTGTTACATATGTATACTTGTGCCATGTTGGTGTGCTGCACCCTCAACTCGTCAGCACCCATCAACTCATCATTTACATCAGGTATAACTCCCAATGCCATCCCTCCCCCCTCCCCCCGCCCCATAATAGGCCCTGGTGTGTGATGTTCCCCTTCCAGAGTCCAAGTGATCTCATTGTTCAATTCCCACCTATGAGTGAGAACATGCGGTGTTTGGTTTTCTGTTCTTGCGGTAGTTTGCTGAGAATGATGGTTTCCAGCTGCATCCACGTCCCTACAAAGGACACAAACTCATCCTTTTTTATGGCTGCATAGTATTCCATGGTGTATATGTGCCACATTTTCTTTATCCAGTCTGTCACTGATGGACATTTGGGTTGATTCCAAGTCTTTCTATTGTGAATAGTGCCGCAATAAACATACGTGTGCATGTGTCTCTATAGCAGCATGATTTATAATAAATTCGGATTTTCTATGTGAACGATTTAAATGAGTCCCTGCTGCAAGAGCACACTGTTTCCACACTTGCTGTTCTTTTGGTTGGACAACCACTGTTCACTTTCACATCTCCCTGGTCTGCCATTGCCTTAGGAGGCCTGCATTGCTCCCTGGCAGACAGAGACCCTCATTGTTAGGGTCCTGGAGCACTGGAACCTTCCTCTCATAGGACCCATCACACTCTAGTGAAACGGCATGGGACCTCTGTGTCTGTTGGGACAGGAACTCCATGGCAGGCTTCCCTTGCAGGATGATGGATCACTGTGGGCTGATGGAGTATTATACAAGGGAATAAGCCACTGATTCTGCTTGAGCTGATCAAGGAAATGTTTGTGGAGACACCTTGAGGAGCTTATCGAATCAGAATGAGTTTTCCAAATAGACCAGAAAGATAAGAAAGTCCCATGGAAGAAAGGGCAGGCGTAAAGAGCCAGTGGTGTGTTGTGGCCCCTGCATTTGGAGACTAGCAGAAGTTTAATGTGGCTGGAGTAGCAGGCAAATGTGCCAAAGCAGATTTGCACAGGAGGCGGTACAAGACCAGTCCCGTTCGTCATGCCTAATGTGATTCTGACCCAGGGTCAATCCCAGCAGAGACCTGGCAATGACCAGAGACATTCTTGGTCATCACAACTAGGGAAGTGCTACTGGCATCCAGGGATACTGTCAACAGCCTACAGTGCACAGGGCAGCCTCCCACAACAAAGTTATCCTGCCCCAAATGTCCACGGTGCTAAGGTTAAGAAACCCTCTACTCCTGCCAGGGGGGGTTAACACAGGACTGATCTCGCCATGGCCATTGGGGACTTTCGTGATCCCAGCTGTGAGGGCCAGAGGACAGGAGAAAAAAATTGCAATGGGGTAGAGCTGAAATAAGGCTTGTGCTTTCTGGGCTCTGGCCCAGTGATGAGCCACTGTGTCCTCTGCCTCACCTGAAGGGGCTGCACCAGGAGCAGGAAGCCTGGCCACAGCCTTCTGGTCAGGTCTTGGCTGTGGCTACAGTCCATTTAAAACATTTTGTGAGCCTAGCTTTCCTCAGTGCCACTGACCTTCTTGCACCCCTCATGAAATATAAATTCTGTGTCTGTGCTCTGCTGAGTTCAGTGATGGCCCTGCAGGAACAGAGGAAGTATTGAGGAGGCCCTCAGGGGCAGGCACAGTGGGGAGGAGAGGCATGATGGCAGGGCCCAGCTCATACAGAGTGCTGACAGTTGACAGACTCTCCTACAACCCAAGAGGCATCTGTTCCCATTCAGAAGCAAGGGCGCTGAGGACCTGACCACACCAATGATTGGTTGAGGGTCACCCATGGTAGTGGATGAAGCTGGAGGCCCAAACACCAACATCAATTCAAAGTGGGCCTTGAATCACCTGGGACCATTCATGATGACCTGAAACAGCATAAGCAAACTCATTCTTCATTTGATTGGTAGAAAAAGATTCTGAACTGTAGCAGGAAATAGAATCATTCTCACACTTGATTGAAATAAAGTTGCTAGCTGAAATCGGCAGTAGAGTTTTCGAACTCTTATATGGACATGTGAAGAGAAAGAAAGGCCAACAGAATAGTAAAAAGACTCTGGGATGCATGAAAACAAATTATAAACATACTTAATTTTTATTTAATTTGATAAGCAGTCCTCTAATTCTTGGAACTTTAGAAAGTCACTCCTGGGAGTAATCATGTTTGTAGAATAGGTAGTAACTCACCTTTAGTTGTTATTTCTTCTGACAACAAATCACATTTTTGAGTCACAAACCAATATGTGTCTCTAACTCATTAGTGTGTGTTATTTTGTCTTTGAAAGACCCAGAGGTCTTCCCTGCGTACCCAGCTAGAGTGTCTGCTTATTGATGAGAACATTGATAATGACTTGGAGGAGTTCATTTTACCTTTGAAGGACTGGCCAATAGAAGCACTTTAAATGTGAGCTGTCCTCACTCAATTTAGTTAACACTTGTTTCATAAGGGCTAAGATTACAAAGCTGACATTTATTTTATGTCAAATAACCACAGAAACCTATGCACTAATAGCTTCCTTCATGCTGCTACAGTTGAATGATGGTGAATAATGCCAGCAAAAAAATCTCTCTTGGAGATTATGTGGGGATGTAATCAATGCAAGACTAGGCCCCCGAAAAATGGAATAATAAAGTTGTGGCTTTTTATTGCGCTTTCATTCTGATTGTGGCCTGGATCAATGTCAAAAAATTATGAATGAGCATAATGCCTGGCACATAAAAGGTGTTTAATAAATACCTATGAATAAATAAATAATATAAAGCCATGCGGTATTGCAAGCCTTCGACTTGGATGTCCTGGATTTTTACACTAGCTAGCACTGGGACCGGCTAACTAAGTCAGTTTAGGGGACCTGCTTCACTGTTCTGAGTCTCACTTGTGCAGATGTGTACCAAGAACTTTAGACTTGGTTGGACCACCATCAAGTTTATTGAGAGCCTTCTACGTGTATGAGCCTATGGTATCCACTTTAAATATATATAAATACATCCACTTTAAGTATATATATTATCTTCCCCTTTTCTAATTGTTTGCTACAAATATAAAAATGTCTTCCTTCTTCTAATACAGTTATGATTCTCAATGAAAGTAGAGATCAAGATGTGCCAAGCTGTGCCAAGTGGGAAAATGTATTCAAACATAAAATTCAGCCATAAGGGTTTGACTTGCAGAAACCTCACCTGAGGATACAAAAATACAAAACTAGAAACAGAAACTTTTTAGCTTGTTAGCTGAGAAGTGAATGAACTGAAAGAATCAAAGAATTGCTCCCACCCTTGTACACAGACAGACACACACACACACACACACACACACACACACACCCCTGCAGGGGAAGTATAGTTGTCTCTACTCTCTTCCCACTGCTTTATGCCCTAGCCTCTTTGCCATAGTAGTCTTTCTAAAATTATTTTTAAAAACTATAAAATTACTCCCTAACCAACCCCTAGCATGAGGCTCCTCTTTGCCTCTGCATTTTGGGGAGGGAGTTTTTTTTTTCTCTTCTTGCCACCTATCAAAACTCCATCAGAAACTTTTTCTCCCCCTATGACTCCCTCTCTCATCCTCCCATACACACAGTTTCTGCTGTTCTTTATGAGAAAGCTGCCGGTGCTTTGTAGGAGAGATTTGAGGAGGTCTCAGTGAGAAGGCCGCCACTATTCAGCTTTGTATTCCTTGAACCAAGCAAGAAACTGGGCTCATGGCAAGTGTTCATGGAAGGCATGCATTAAATGGAGTGTGTGGCAAGAACACACTCGTATTTCCCGTGCCCGGTGATAGTTATGGGGTGATTGAAAGGTCTTGGGATTGCCTGTGTGCCCAGTGAGAGTCTAACCCATTTCACACAGCAAAGAAAATATCCATTATCTGACCTCCCACCTTCCTCTCTGCAAGATTTTGGAGGGAGGACAGAGGTATAAAGAATATAGATGTTTTAAAACCGTGACTTTGAACAGGACAGAGAGAAGAGAGTCTTTTTAAGTCAGAAGCTTGTTAAATTATAGCCGCTACTTCTCAGTACTGAGCTTTGGATTTCATTCATTCATTCAGCCACGCAGCAAGATTTACTAAGCACAATCTGGGACAGGGTTTATATTAGTTGTTGGGGCGAAGGGATGACTAAAATATGGTTCGTCATCAACATATCTGCCAGAAGACGGAAAATGAGAATGATGCAAATGTGCTGAGATTGAGCATGATCAAAGCTTGAGAGGGAACAGTCAGCGCTGTAAGCAGAGCAACACAATGGATGCACCAGCAACACAATGGATGCACCAGCAACAAAGATCAATCCTACCTGTGTTATTTTAAAACTGTATGAATAGATTATTCTAACATTATATGGTTTACATAGCATTATTATCTAATATTAAGCAAATTAATTGGCTAAAGAAAAAAAGAAATCTTGGCCTCATTGAAAGGAAAAATTCCCTTGTGCCCCTCGCAGGGCGAGCGACGGCGGGTGTGGCTGCCTTTTTTGGTGGCCCGCTGCTCAAACCTCTAGGGGGAGCATGCAGACGGGCAGGTTGTGGGTCTCCAACCCCATGGCAGTGTCTAGGCGTGGATGTTTACAGCTCCTGAAGTCCCAGTGGGTGTGTGTTACAAGGTGCTCTTTTAGTTCTGCCTTCTGTAGGCGGCTTGTGTAAACCAGCTCAATTAGACCCTCTGGCTTATCACAAGGACAGAGAGCTTTCTGTATCCCGGGGTTCCTGCCTTGGTGTACCAGAAAACTTAGATCACACATGGGCTTGGAGAATGAGTGCAAGGTGTTATTCAGTGGAAAGAGCCCTCAGCCCATGGGGGAGCCAGAAGGGAGATGGAGTGGGAATGTGGTTTTCCCCTCGAGTCGGGCTGCTCAGTGGCCGGGCTCTCCTCCGACCATCCTGGTCAAACTTAGTGTCGTTCTGCCAGTCGATGGCCTGCCAGTGTTCCGGCACTGTTGGTGTGTTCTTATGCTGATGCATTCCTCTCGACATCCAGCCGCTTGTGTTTTCTTCCGCTGGTGTGTTCCTCTCAGTGTCCAGCTGCTCGTGTCTGTGCTCGTGTCTCGGGGTTTTTACAGGCACAGGATGGGGCATGGTGGGCCAGGGTGGTCTTGGGAAATGCAACATTTGGACGGTAAGGCAGGAGTGTCTGTCCCTACCTATGTCCCTGGGCACAGGCCCAGGACTGGAGCCCTCACCAGGGACCCACCCTTCTCCTCCCAGCACTTCCCTGCCCGCCTCCAGTATCATCATGACACCATCAGATGGTGTTGAACTACACTCAGCACATCCAATAGTAGCCAACTCCAGCCTCCACTTGCATCCAAGAAGTCTAACACCTCCTCAGCTTCTCCTTTGACAACACTGGATCATACGTGGTCATCTGGTATGCTGGTTTCATATGCTGAAGGGCCGAGAGCAGGAAAGAACAGAAGCCCCAGACAGAATTTCTAATAACTATACTGCCAAACCCAAACGACACCAGAGAAAGGATTTGTTTTTCACATGGAGCTCTAAAGTATTTTTCTCAATGCTTATGACTACCCTTTTATCTAAAAGCCTCACTTGGCCACATCAGAGGGTGATTCCCAAGTAGCTGAGACTATTGACCCTAGATTGTACTGGGCCATCTCCCCAGAAGGTCTTCCGTCCTGGGAGCTTCCTGACTCACCTTCTCAAGGAAACAAGCTCCCATGACTACACCCTCGTCTATTTTGGTGCACTGTCTTATAGTGGCTATATTCAATGGAGAAATTGCCTGAGGAATTGGAGGATGTCTCAAGATGTCCTTGACACATATCAGTAAGGCAGCTGGGTTATTACTGCAGGTGGAAAAAGACAGGCAGTTGCCTTCCCACCTTCCCACCAGGTGACATGGCCATTTTCTCTATGGAGAAACCAAAAGTAATCAAAAAATGTATTGCCTTTCTTGTCATCATTTTATTATTCCTTTTGAGTATATCTTCTATATAAATGTTAGAATCATCTTATGAGTTTAAATAAAGAACACAGAATACTGATACTTGACTCTAGGGAGAGATCAATATATTGGTAAATATCCTGCATATTTTTGCTAGACATTTTTCTGGTATTTTATATGATACTAGACTATTATCAATGACTTATCTTCATCTTTTCTAGTTGTTTGCTACAAATATAAAAATGCAAATAATTGGCTGTATCTCTCCTTCTTTCTCTCCTCTTTGCCTCCTTCTCATCTTCAACCCTCACTAGAAAGGGGCCAACTGATCTCCACCTCTTCTGTAAGCCACTGACATTTCTCTCCCTCAAATCATTCTTCAGAAACAGCTGTCTGTCTCTACAAGCCCTAATGATATCTCCATCATCAAGTTCAGTGGCCTCGTGTCAGCTCATGTCCATGCCTTTCTCACTTTCTCCGACTTATCTGATATTGTTGACTGGTCTCTTCTCTTGTCTTCTGGTAATCCATTCTCAATTGTGCCCCTTATCTCTCTGACTGCCTTTCACCGGTCTCTAACTCTCTTTCTTAAACGTAGTTCAACTCAGGAGCTCATCCTCTCTCCTGTTCTGGTGCTCAAGTCTTGAGTGTTGATTGTTCTAAATGATTTGAATGAGACTGCAATGGTTTTAACTGGTATTTGTGCTACATCTATGTTTTTACATTCAACCAAGCATATATTATAGAGGATAAAAGGTGAATTTCAAAATAAGGTCTTTAAGGATATTTTGCATTTGGACTAAACATCTACACTTCATGTTACAAATTCACACTCCAGTTCTATTTAGATATATTTTGGTGGGAAGTTTTCAGAAGCATCCAAGACAATCAAATTTTTATTGTTCAAATTGTAATAGGAAATCTAGACTCAACACTCCCCCTCCCCAATTCTAGTCCTTCTATATTCATGCTACTTTCAATCAATCTGAACTTGGGCATGTCCATCATGATCCTGACTGGAGTCATGAATATTGAGAGAGAGCCATAACAGTCTACACTGGGTGGCCTGAAACATGTCATTCATATGTATGAATACATAGATTTGATTCCCTTTTAGCCAATTTTTGAAACTAAATGAAATGTCAAACAGCAAGGTCTTGCTGTGAGCTCTCATGGGGGTGAAATAAGCATGAGAGAATCAAGCTAGGATAGAATTGGAGAGACACATTCCGCTAATTTTTAAATGGTTTCATTTGCCTATTATACTTGTAAATAACATATTTAAACTCAGAATGCTCATGAGGAAAACTTGCCTTCTAATTAATAACTCACATTGGGATAATATTCATGCTTGGAATTTAAAATCTTCTCTCTTGGACTTTTACCAAACATAAGAAATTTTATTCCAAGAGATAATTTTTGCATAATGATGTATTTTCAAAGAAATACAATAATACTCATTACATCTCTTCCAGATGCAATATGCCAGAACCAGCACCATCATTTCAGAGTGATACTGTCACATGCCCACTCAAACAAAATAAAACTTCCATCTGGGCAGATAATTTGGTTAAAATAAGAACTTTACTGATGAGTGCTTGCTTTATGTCTGCAAACTCTTTCCAGAAATCTACAAAGGGGAATGTTACATTTTAGTGCTTATAAATAGAGAGAGCCATCTTCTTTGATTTATTGCTTGTTTGCGATGTTGTTATGTTTACTTGTTAGAAATGACAGTACTTACTGGACATCCTGGATAGTGTCCATGCCAGCAGTTTCACATCCATTAGTCAGGGCTAAAGAAAGTATGAGATACATAAGAATGTCTTAATTGAACTCCAACACAATCATTCTGTTGCTGTTGTCATTTTAACTTTTTCTTCACTCGAAAATATATGAGTGTTATAATTTTATTACAACCAGATTTTTTTCCATTTTATCTGTGCTGAGGTCATAAAGGTTGGCTAGCTCTAACCACATTTTCAACTATGAGCTCAATAATATTTGAGAAAGTCTAAATTTTTAACTATCGAACTATAAACCTTTGAAAATGTTTTCAACTTTTAAAATTTTAATCAATTTTCAGAAAATCAAAAGTCAAAAAAATGTTCCAGTGTGAGTTGCCAAAGCTAGAATTCCATCCAGACTGGCATAAACTAAAGTAACTAATGAACTTGAATTAGAACAGAACTGAAAAATGCACTGGTTCAACTCCACGGCACAGCTCCTCTATTTTGTTCTGGGCTCTCTGTTACAAAATAAAATAAAATGCTGAATTTGACTTCAGAGTCTATTTTTATTTAGCATTTCACAACCTTACATACACACACATACACACACTATTGGGCTAGAAATAAAATCCTGCTTTGGTTTGATTTCATGTTGACAAATCGTCACCCATTTATCCCCTAGTCTTTCCCCGGTCAATCTGAAAGAGATATTTTCTCTGTCTCTGTCTCTTTCCCCACCTACTTCCATCAGCATAACCATCACTCCAACCCCCATGTTCATCAATTTTTGTCATTTTTACATTATTTTAATTTTATTTATATCTTTCATATTATTTATGTAGTATACATTCCTAATTTATCATAGTTTTAAAATCTTATCAAAAGAGAATTTATATTTAATATTTTAGCTTTTTTAACTTTCTATGATTCATCCATATTGCATATAGTTTAGTTTATTTATCTTTCTCCTTTTTAAGATTCATTTGCGTGACTATACTACAGTTTATTCATTCATTCTTCTAGAAGAACATTTGAGTTATGCCCAACACTTCTCTATGACTTTTCTCATACATTGTGTTGTGTACAAGGCTTTCTCTTGGGTAGATACAGAATTCCTATGTGGTAGGATGTGTGGATATCCAGCCCTACACAGTGACATTAACCTGTTTTCTAGAAAGTCTCTATCATATACAAACCTAACAGCAGTGAATAATAGGTCCTCCCCATCCTTCATAAGGAGACACTTTCCAGCTTTGCTAGTCAAATGAATGTGAAATTGGGTCACATTGTGGGTTTGATTTGCATTTTCTTTATCAACAATCATGTTGATTTTTTTCAGACATCTATTAGAAATTAATACTTTCTCTTCTGTGTGTTGAATACCAATGGTTTTTTTGTGTGTGGTTTGTACTTTCTCTAGTGATGTTCAGAATTTTTTAAATTTGTTTTCAATACTGACTTTTCATCAGTTATGTGTTTGTTGAGAACATCTTCTCCTAGTTTTTAAAGTGTCTTTTCATGTTTTTTAATTTTAAAAAATCTTATTTTGAGGCAGGGTCTCACTACGTTGCCCAGGCTGGCCTGGAACTCCTGGGCTCAAGCGTTCCTCCCACTTCAGTCCCCACTGTAGCTGGGATTACAGGCAGGTAATGCCATGCGCAGCAGTCTTCATGTTTGGGGAGTGGTTCATGAAAGTTTTCATTTTCAGTACAGTCAATTTTATTAAGTATTATATAGCCTATATTTAAGTATTTTGTTTAAAATGACTTTTGCTATGTAAGGACTAAACTATTTATCCATATTTTCTTGTGAAACTTTTACAGTTTTACTTCTTTTCTTAACTTTTAATTCTGAAATGACTATAAATTCACAGGAAATTGCAAACTTTATAAATAAGTCCCCTCACCCAGTACCCCTCATCCAATTTCTCCCAATGTTTACATCTTCCATAGCTCTGGTACAATATCAAAACCAGGAAATTGGAATTGGTATAGCATAAATATGTTGTTCTGTGTCATTTTATGACATGTGTAAGTTCATATAACCCCACAGCATTCAAGGTGCAGGCTGGCCCACCACCAGCAAGATCTCTGTGCCACCTCTTTATGGCCATACCCGTCATGTCTCACCCATCTCCTTCCCCACCTAAGCATCCCTAATTTCTGGCAAATGTCAATTTATTCTTCACGTTTCTTATCCTGTCACTTTAAGAATGTTATATAAATGCAGTCATACAATGTATGACATTTTAAGATCAACCTTTTTTATTCAGCATAGTACCCTTTAGTTCCATCCTACTTGTATGTATCAATAATTAGTTGTTTTTTATTTCAAAATAGTATGTTACGTTACTAATGTACACAGTTTCTTTAACTATTCATCTGTTGTAGGATGTATTGGTTGTTTTCAGGTTTGAGCTATCACAAATACAGCTGCAATGAACATTCATGGACAGGTTTTTGTATGGACATAAGATTTCATTTCTCTAGGATAAATGCACTAGAATTTGAATGCTAGGTTCAATGAACGGTAAGGGCATACACAAGTTGGGTTTTTGTTTTGTTATTGTTTTTGTTTTTGTTTTTTTGAGACCGAGTCCCTCTGTCACCAGGCTGGAGTGCAGTGGTGCAATCTTGGCTCACTGCAACCTCCGACTCCCTGGTCCAAGCGATTCTCCTGCCTCAGCCTCCCAAGTAACTGGGATTAGAGGCACGCGCCACTACACCCAGCTAATTTTTATATTTTTAGGAGAGATGGGTTTCACCACGCTGACCAGGATGGTCTCAATCTCCTGAACTAGTGATCCACCCGCCTCAACCTCTCAGAGTGCTGGGATTACAGGCATGAGCCACTGCGCCCGGCCTATACATGTTTTAAAGAAATGGCTGTAGGATTTTAAACTTGCACCAAAAATATGCTATAGGACCCAGTTTCTAACACATCCTCACCAGTGCTTGGTAACAGTCTGCTGGTATCAACATTTTAGCACTTGTAGTGAGGTTTGGAACACTTACCATTATGATCCTTTACCCTGCCCCAATTATAATTAACTGAAACATTTCCTCTACGTGCATTGAGGACTACATCAAACTGTGGTAAGATGCTTGCTTTTTTTTTTTTTTTTTTTTTTTTTTTTTTTTTTTTTTCTGCTTATTTCTTTATATTTAGGTTCATTTCTTTTTTTTTTTTTTTTTTTAATTTATTTATTATTATTATACTTTAAGTTGTAGGGTACATGTGCATAACGTGCAGGTTTGTTACATATGTATACTTGCTTTAGCTGTCAAAAATAATTTTGAAAACTCAAAAGGAGAGAAAAAGTCTATTATTGACCCTCTTGCTCTTTCTTACATGCTTTCATCTGCTCTAATGTCCCAAGAGTCCTTTTATTAAATCATTTTCTTTCTGTTTAGAGAACTTCATTTAGCGATTGCTTTAGGGCAGGTCTGTTGGCAACAAAGTCTCTTAGATTTTCTCATCAGAGAATGTCTTGATTTCCTCTTTATTCCTAAAGAGTATTTTCATTGGGTATAAATTGACAATTCTCTTCCTTCAGCAACTGAAAAATACTGTGTCATTTTTTTCCTGACTTCCTTGATTTATGATTTTTTAAAAAATCTGCTTTCATTTGAGTTATGTTTCGCCTGTCATTTCTCACTGATTTTCAAAATTTTTTTTGTCTTTAATTTTCAGAAATTTAGTTATGATGGGTCTTGGAGAGGATTTCCTTAGGGTTATCCTGTTTGAGGTTCACTAGGATTATTGAATCTGTAAGTATATGTCCTTTTGCCAAATTTCAGAAATGTTTCACTGCTACTTTTTCAGTACTTTTTCTAAACATCCTCTTTGTTCTCTCTTTCCAGGGCTCTGATGACACAAATGCCATGTCTTTTATTAGAGTGAGTTCACCAGTCCCTGGGGGTTGGCTCAGTGATTTCAGTGTCTTTTCTCTCTGTTGTTCAGATTGAATAATTTCTTTATTATGCAATCCACTTTCTTATTCACTGAGCAGCTTTCTTAAGTAATTGTATGCCCATGTGGTTTATCTTTGTGTCTCTATGTCTTTAATACTTTTTTGTTTGGGGAGAGTCTTTTTAAGTTTGTTTCAAGACTGTTCGTAATAGCATATTGAAGAATATTTATCACAGTTACTTCAAAATCTTGGTCAGATCATTCTAACATTCTTGTCACTTCATTTTTGCCATATATTAATTGTCTTTTATTCTTCAGCTTGAGATGTTCCTGGTTTTTTATATGACTAGTGATTTTTCTGTTGAAATCTAAACATTTTCTTGTTATGGCATAAGAGTCTGGATCTTACTGAAACCTTTTTGGCTGGCTTTCTGCAACACAGCTGCAGCAGAAGTAGAGGGAATTGCTACCTCATTACGGCCAGGTGGAGCTCCATTGACACCTGAGCCAAGCAAGGGGCTCCCTCTTATTGCTGGGAAGGGTTGGAAGTTTCTGCTCCCCATATGGTCTTCACTGAAATACAGTAGGAATGGTCTGCTTACCAGTGGGCGAACGTGTAAGTCCTGAGCCTCTATTCAGCCTCATCCGATACCACCCTGTGAGTAGAGAAGGGTCCCTCAATCCTGATGGGTTGATGGGGAAGCCCAAGCCCCACGTAGCCTCCACCAACACCAAGGAGGAGTGTGACTACTGGCTGGGAGGGTGAAATACTGGCTCCTTATATGGCCTTCTCAGATACCATCCATGGGGAGCAGGTGTTGAAAGTCCCCAGCACAGCCTTTTGAGGGTGAAAGTCTAGGACCCTCCCAGCCTTTGTTGGTGGAGGAGGGGATGGTGCCATAGTTTTTCCTGTGACGTTCAGTTGCAGTCAAGCAGTTATTGCCTTTCCTGATCCTTTGACTAAAGGGGTCAGGATTTTCTTGAGGTTTTTTGTGTGTGATGGTTGGCATTCTGGGTTCCTGGCTTCTTCAACACCCAATCTGGGACAAATAAGGGGCAAAAAGAGCACCCAGGGAATTCACCAGCAGGTTGTTCTTTGGGGCTTGTGGTTCCCAGCCAGCCAGTCTGTCTCTTTTCTCCATCTTTCAGAGTCT